GCCTGAACTTACCCTGTTTAAGTTTAAACCCATTCCCCCTTGGCCTACTGCTACAGTTCCTGATGAAGAGTCCTTCTCCAGCATCCCTGCAGGCCCCCTTCAGATACTGGAAGGCTGCTATGAGGTCTCCACGCAGCCTTCTCTTCTCCAGGTTGAATAAACCCAACTTTCTCAGCCTGTCTTCATACCGGAAAATATTATATCGCGTCTATGCATTTTATTTCTTTTCATTTTGAACCCATCCATTTCCGTATTCATTTAAAGCTTTGAAGCACTGTCACACACATGCTAAGCATAGAGTTTTGCTGACATTCTAACAGATACTAAAAGACATTGGGTCCATCACAGACATCCCATGGGACAACCATCAAGAAAAGGAAAATAGACCACTTGAATCTAATTAATCTGCCATCTATGTGCACAGCTCCTTTACACATATAGAGGGACATATCCTGATGCTCTTGCCAAGTTCTCAGGGGAAAAGCTTTCAATCAATAACAACAATAGGTTTGATAAAGATCGCATAATTTGTCCTCAGATGTCAGCTTCACCACATTGGATGTCGGAAAAAAAACTTAAAGAAGTTTGCTAAGGAAACAGCTAAGCCAAATATGGGAACAAAATACACCTATTTCAGAAATGCCCTGACATGAAATATATCAACTCAACACCACCAGTCTCTAATAAATATCAATCTCACAGTTTTTCTAAAAACAGGCAGGCATCATCTATAGTCATTGCTTAGTCTGTAAGAGGCTAAGAGAGGCTAAACAAATGATCATTTCGCAAAAACCTTCAAATCAGAATTTTCAGAGACTGAGAAAAAACCTAGAGAGAAAGAGGTTTGAACTAGGAAATTCAAGTGTTTTAACTTGAAGAATTATTTTTTACTGACAGAGCAGTGAATATAGTTTAGCCAAATGTAACTTCCTTTTTATCTGTCAGACGCTAACACCACCAAGACCAGGGGTGTGCTAGGGTTGTTGGAAATTGCAGCTACCTGGAAAGAAGCACACACAGAGATCTGTCTTAGAACTCGTGAAAACCTAGGATGAGTCAATCTCTGGCTAAGCCTCTGGTGTCTAAGGACCAAAGAAGAGTGGCCTACGCCAGACACATACCTTCATGCTACAGGCACAGGAACCTTCCTACCAGTGGCAAGGGTAATCACTGTTAGTCTGTAACAGTCAAGTAAATGTTTACTGGGGGAAGACTTGAACAGTTGGCTCAACTCACCTTAAAGGGAGAAGCAGAACCACACCAACAATGTTCATGTACAGCACTGAGCAAACCTTTCCTTCTCTGCTTGCACTGAGAAAATTGCTGCTGCCACATTTATTTGAAAAAAACAGCCCAATACCCTGACCTCCTGAAACATGATGATGCTATTCCTTATTCAGAGAACAAGAGCTATTTTCACTTCTTCCACTGGGAAAAAACCCACGTAGTATTTAAAGAAAACAAAGTTTTGGCACCTAGCCATGACAAAAAGCCAAGACTAATACTATTTCCAACAAAACACTGGAATGCACTCTGCAAAACAGTGCAGTCCAGTGCATAGCAACTGTTGGTGGCCTTCCACCACAGCTAACTACATACTATTAGTGTTAGCTAGCAGTCATCCCAACCCTGGGCAATGGCTTGTCGTTCACTACCTCAGTTTCTAGCTTTGAAGCATTTTTAAGCAGACACACAAAATTGGAATCCTTCTAACGCTGTAACTTACTTTCTAAACCTTCCAAATCCCCCTCTCATGTTTTCATTTAATTCAGGGCATGCTGCAATTCCCTCTGATGAATACAGCAGGCATTAGGGAAATGCTGGAGAGCTTCATTTAATAGCTCCACATGAGACTGACCACAGTTGAATACAGCAGGGCAAAGATATGCCTGCCATGGTAAGTAACTGCCAGGATTGAAAGAAACAAATGAGGGGCTTTTTCATCCATGTATTGTGTGTGCTGCTAAAGAAAGGTGCATCACACCATCTGTGCTTTTTGAGGATCACAACTGAAAATACTATTTGTAATGAAATATTCCAAATGTTGGATTCAGGATTAATTTCTTCTGCCACTTCTTTATGTGTCGAATTAAACCATTCATTGACCTTAACCATCTATTAGTTTAAATGTGGACAGTTATCTAGGCATGTGAATAGAGGTTGTCTTAATGATAATGACAATTAAAGTGAATTTAGTTCAGGTAGAGTTCACAGTTCAGAACTGAAGCTGTAGGAGGGTAAATAATTGCACTTAGCCAATAATGCAATGCATGAGGTTCACAAAGCAAGAGCATCTTCATGCAAAACATGACCTTAAGCAAATACCAGCAATTAGCAGCCCTCTTTCCAATCCCCACCCACATTTTGATTACAAGAATGGAAAACAAAACAAAAAATCCCCACCCAAGAACAAAGCAGACTTGCACAAGTTGTCCAAAAGGTGTTCAAAATGTGCGCATCCATCTTTTAACAGTTTGTAAACACATGCAAGTACTTAAAGAAGAACAGTTTTAACTTGCAAAAGGCTACAGCCTGTTATTCTGCTGAGCTGCTCACCAAGCTTTCAGAGGTGATTACATAGGAAGCCCAAAAACTTTACTGACTTTTTGTAGTTAATCAAAGAGTACCTACACAATCAATGAATTGTGCAGGTATTTAATTATCTAGCCTTTCTACAGACAGCCGAGCTGCAGCTGGATGAAACCGAGTGGATACAGCCAAAAATTACACGTTTAGATAGGCAAAAGAACTTTTCATAATATAAACAGGAAAGCGTCTGGGTAGAATAAATCTGTCCCGCTGCTGCCCATTGGCATAGAGTTCCCATCCCCAGCATCATTAGCTGGTAACAAAATTCCTGAAGAGAAAGGACCAGAATCTGAATAAAGTTTCTAAGGTTAAAAATTCTTATCCAGATTACAGCCTTTTCCTTACTGGCACAACTAGGCACTTCCGAATGCTAAAGGCAGCATGAAAATTAAGAGGTCTGGAGTAACCATTGCTTTACTCTTCTGAGCCGATTGCTCACTGTGGAGATCTGACAAACATAATGCTTTACTCCATGCAAGCTGCTGTACTTCTGGGAAAGAGAAGCAGATGGTACACAAATAAGAAAAAATAAATAAATAAATAAATCTTGCAAGAACATAAGAGGGTATTAAATAAATTTTAAGTGTGAAACGTATGTTTAGCCTTAGATTCCCTCCCGTCCCATCTCACTTAGTAATTCTGAACTTCCTTTTGTTGCTTCTGTCTATATCCATTTGGTTTTGTAACTGTGCATGCAGAAAATGCAATTTGTGTTAAGAGGAAGAAAATCAGATGTACATCATACCTCTCAACTGACTGAACTTCAGGAGTATAACAAATTTCCACATATCAGCTGAAAGCTACAAATCTCATATGCACACAGACTTTGCAGCAACAACGTGAAGAAATACAGATTACTGTAGCTTGCTTTCACTGATAACTAAGCTAAGTCAAATCACTTTCCATATTACCTTCCTTCCACTGACCGAAAGTCAACTGTTTCACCATACAGATGCACACACATGGTTGAGCCTTTAAACTCAAGGCCTGGTGGCTCAGGTTGTGATTTCACAGTGAGTTTGAAGAGAGGTGAGGGCTACCACCAGAGAGAGTGGCTCTTCACCTCCACCCCATCTCTACCTACTCACTCTCACCTGCTGCGCTAGCATTCACAGTGGGCCACATCACCAAAATAATCTGTCTGAAACTAAACTAGGAGACAGACACATTTTCAGGTTTCATGCTCTAGCTCATCCACATAAGCTCAGCAGGACTCTTGCGCTGCTGAGGAAAAAAAAAAAGACCCTTTCATCAGTAGGCTCCACTTTTAGGCTAGAAATGACCATGGAATCCCACCTTTCACGGGGAGCTCATAAAACATGTAAAATTTCTACTTAAATACCAATAGGGCTTACAAAAGGATTCAGGAATCTATGTTCCGTTAAACCAATACTACTTGAAAAGGTTCGTATTAAAGAAAGCCATAGAATCTATTATGCAAATTAGCCTATGGTTAATTATTATTATATGCATAATTGCAGTATGTCTGCTTTCTTTCTGCTTTGCTGTCTTACAAGTAACAGTGAGAATTCTGTGTAACTTCAAGAGGAAACTTGTGAAAGTGTTGCAACTGCACAGCATAAAAACCTTCAAAAGACTTCTAAACCACAGTTAGTTCTACCCAAATACCTCAGTAAGACACTACACTATACCTACAGAAATAAAGTGAGTCTGGATAAATTAGAACATAGCATGAGAACAGTTGTCATCCTGTTTTTTAAATAGCTACTATGCAAAAGGAGTTATAATAGACTTCTTGCCTGGAAAGACAGGTACAAGACAGTGTAAGATCATGTTCTAGAGAATAAAACAACACAAGACACAAGAAAACAAGCCAAGAGACCCTAAATGCCTACTTCTACTTTTTTTTCTTGTAGAAGCCATCACAATGCTGGTCCACCTGTCATGAGGTGCCACAATAACGGTGATGGAAAAGTCAATGCTGCAGTCATAGGCGATGAGAACAGTGTACCCTATCCCTATAAAAGTCATCATTACCCACGTTCATTAAATACTGCTTTCTTTGAAATTACTGTACATAGCAGCAGAGTCCATTTCTAGTAACTGCTGCCAGGAAAAAGGCCATCTTCACTTGCCTTATTAACTCCAACCGCTATGTCTTGTTTGTGCATTAATGCGCTGACAGACAAAACATCACTAAAATCCTGCCTCTCCTTGACTCAGTGACAAAAATGCCATTAGTTTAATCACACAGAGATTTAACCCAAGTTACTTACAAATGCCTGAAAACATTGGGGGGAAAAGAGTTAGAAGGGCCAAGTAGTATTGACTAGTGTAAACTCACAGTTGCTTTGCACACAAGTAAACATATAATTAGTTAAAAAAACAAACCCAAAGAAAAGCAAGAAAAAAGCAAGTAACAGTAAAAAAGTAAAATAACAGCAGCTCACCTTTTGGGGGAGTGGTCCGTGGTCATCCAAGTAAGTGGAATTTCCTACAAAAAGCAGAAGAATTGAGATAAACAAAAGCCATCAAATGCAACTTCAAAACTTGCCAATTCATGGAGCCAGTGTATCCCTATCTCACTGGTTCTCTGGTGTTGACTAATTCAAGGAAAATAAATACCCTCTGCTTTACTTTCTGATTAACAAGAGAAAAACAAAACTAATTCATTTTGGCTACATTTGTGCTAATAGATTAGATGCACATTGTTATTTTAGAAAAAAAAATAAATGTGCCAAGGCAACTTTAATTAAATAACATGGCATTCAATTATTTGCATGACAAAAACTATCACCTGCATCCTTGTATATATTAAGCAAGTGAGCATAGTGAACTTCAAAGAGATTTCTTAAATAATGAAGCTTCAAGGCCTTAATCAGATTTTGGTCTGATGGAGTTCACAAGCATTCACCTATCTCCTAACACGTATTTTTCCCAACCTCCAAGATAGTTCTTTGCTCCCAAACAGCCCTGACCAAATGAGAGAGGTATTCTGCTGTAGTTACACCTGCCCTTTCCAGCATCTCTTTTAATTCTGATGAAAAGCTTCAGGAAAAAAAATTAAAAAAGCTCCTAAAATTTTTATGTGATCCATTCTTAGTTGGCTACAATAGAAAAGGCAACAATTTCTTTTTACCCATTACTAACAAACATACACTGACATATACAATACACCCTCCCACACACACTCATAGGCTAACTTCCGTGCAACTGTTCTTCTTGAATCCTTCTTAATCCTGAGCTTTCCCAACAGAAAGAAGCAGAAGATGATACCTTGCAGCCAGTCTGAAAGCTCCCCTAAGGCCACACATGCCTCTCCTTCCAGTCATTCTCCTACCAAAAGCAACAAAAATACCTCTGCTCTAACCTTACATCAGTACAGAGCATAAGAACCATTTGTACAAGTGCCTGCTAGATATCCAAAACTCACATGGAGGAGGACTGCAAAAATCACATCCCACTTCTGAGCGTCTCCGCCCCTGGGGTTTTTAATGGGCAGCAGATATTGCCTCCGGGGCAACACAGGCTAGTGGGAGTAAGACATAATTTCACACCAAATAGCTTTTCGATTGTCAATCTGGCTAATGGACACTGAGTCACCTTGGTTTTCGGAGTGCCAGAATTAAAAAGAGATTTCTGGATCCAGAAGGCAGGAAGGGGAAGTCTGTATGTGTGAATGTGATGAATTTCCATGTAAAATAAAAAGGTAAGCCCCAATACCCCAAACTTGTTCTTTTGCAGATGTATGTACCTTGATCTTGGAAGAGTTTGCACAACTACAAAAGCCTCAACATGTCTTGAGATGACCTTTTGATGGTCATCTCAGAACATGAATCATCTTCTGAAGCTTACCAGAAACCCTTATTTCTATACAGCTGACATAAATACCCATCCTTTGAACAACCCTGTTGATTATTTTAATGCCATAGATAATATGGCTGATTCCCTACATCCAGGGATAATCTCTATTATCCATTCCTCTGATCCAATTCTAATTGCCAAGAAAGTGATTCACTTCCCAGACTGCTAACATAATTATGTATGGCTTTCCAATAAAGTAGCTTCTCCATGCACAGTGATAGGGACTTGAAAGTAAGCATTTCAGGAAAACCCAGTTACACCTGGGAGGGAGGCAAGGAAAGCTCTTGGTACCTCTCCTTTCATATTAATTCAGAATTTAACTTCCCTGTAGATGAGGCTGTTACTGTACCGTTCATAGCAACTTCCTTCTCTTTGTAATTAAACAATACTGGCACTGTTGTTGATAAAATAACTCTTATGGTTTTCTCACTGTGTTAGGAAAACTCTTTCATCTTGTTCCATGCTAGAATAAGTGATGCTTGCTAAAAAGCATGTTTGTGGTCTAAAGCAGTTAACACATTAGAAATGCCATAAACACTATATGAAAACTATTTATTTGTTAAAAAGGAGTAACAAAACTCTGAGTTTTATAATCAGTATTAAGAGAGATACATTAATACTCATTTTTTTCCTCATCTCCCCAAAACCCAGGCAGTTTTTACTTATCTAAATAAAAAGGAATATTAACTACATATATACATACATATATATAAACTATATGTTTAGGAATGGCTCATTTATCTGTAGAGAAGGATTTGAATTACCACCTTTTCTTGAGGAAACAGATCATCACAGTCATAGTTTACACTATCTTATACAGCAGTGTCAAAAGTGTCTGAGCCATATTACAGACACCTTTTTGAGATATTCTTTAAAATTAAGGAGCCAATAACTGAAGCAATTTCACATTTCTGTATCAGTATCAGTAACCTATATTATTAGCACATGTATTGCATTTTCCTTCCTTTTTGTTTTTTAATGTTTGAAATTACATCAAAATATCCCTGTCCTTGAACATTTACCCTATAGGTTTGATTTCTGTTCTCAGAAAGTTGCTAGTTACCAGTTAAATACTACACCATTGGCCCATTTTATAAAAGGTCTTTTTCATGATAGTTGCTTGCTCAAATCCAGAAACAACTAACAGTGGTATAAGCAAATTGCCAGACAGATAAAAGCGATCACAGAAATTAAAGAGTACTGATTTGAAACACTGTCAGAATAACTTGCAAATTAAGAGCAGAGGAAGGAAAGCTGCACACATTTCCGACATACTTACGCTGCCCTAAATGCCATGTACTCAGCTAGCTCCCTTCGCCTGCCAGGTCTCCTTCAGGCATATGAAGCAGAGCTTCTCAGCATCCCCAGCATGCCACACCAATTCAATAGTCTCAATCCTTCTGTGTTTAAGTTTAAAATAAGTATTTGTTTTCTTTCAGTAATAAAAGCAAAACCTTTTGCTGTATGATTCATACCTACCCTAAGTTAAAAACCACTACAATAGCTCAACAAATCCAGCTGTGATAGAGTGGAGCAGCTGGCTGTGGGGTACACTGGCCAGATCCTTAACCCCAGAAAGCCCTGCACGTGCTCTCACTGCTCATCGCATCATCGAATTGGGCTTGCTTCCATCCTGCTTGCAAAACAATGGCCACGCTACAGGAGCCCTAATGCATGAAGAAATATCCTGGAAAACATGCACCTAGGTCAGAATCTTTCTGCAGAAAACCTTCAGGAAAGATGATCACTTTCTAACAGAAGAAGAGACCAAGAAAAGCTTATTAAGCATGATTCCCGATTTGGGTATTTACAGATCCCATGAGCTTAAGACAGGATCATAGAATCATAGAATCGTTAGGGTTGGAAAGGACCTTAAGATCATCTAGTTCCAACCCCCCTGCCGTGGGCAGGGACACCTTACGCTAAATCATATCACCCAAGGCCTCGTCCAACCTGGCCTTGAACACTGCCAGGGATGGAGCATTCACAACCTCCCTGGGCAACCCATTCCAGTGCCTCACCACCCTAACAGGAAAGAATTTCCTCCTTTCCTCCTTATATCCAATCTAAACTTCCCCTGTTTAAGTTTTAACCCATTCCCCCTTTGTCCTATCACTACAGTCTCAAATGAAGAGTACCTTCCCAGCATCCCTATAGGCCCCCTTCAGATACTGGAAGGCTGCTATGGGGTCCCCACACAGCCTTCTCTTCTCCAGGCTGAACAGCCCCAACTTCCTCAGCCTGTCTTCATACGGGAGGTGCTCCAGTCCCCTGATTATCCTCGTGGGCCTTCTCTGGACTTGTTCCAACAGTTCCATGTCCTTTTTATGTTAAGGACACCAGAACTGCACACAATACTCCAGGTGAGGTCTCACAAGAGCAGAGTAGAGGGGCAGGATCACCTCCTTTGACCTGCTGGTCATGCTCCTTTTGATGCAGCCCAGGATACGGTTGGCTTTCTGGGCTGCGAGCACACACTGCTGGCTCATGTTCATTTTCTCATCAACCAACACCCCCAAGTCCTTCTCCACAGGGCTGCTCTGAATCTCTTCTCTGCCCAACCTGTAGCTGTGCCTGGGATTGCTCCGACCCAGGTGAAGGACCTTGCACTTGGCATGGTTAAACTTCATGAGGTTGGCATCAGCCCAACTAACAAGCATGTCAAGGTCCCTCTCGATGGCATTCCTTCCCTCCAGCATATCAACCGAACCACACAGCTTGGTGTCAGTGGCAAACTTGCTGAGGGCGCACTCAATCCCACTGTCCGTGTCAGCGACCAAGATGTTAAACAAGATCGGTCCCAACACCGATCCCTGAGGGACACCACTTGTTACTGGTCTCCAGCTGGACATTGAGCCATTGACCACAACTCTTTGTGTGTGGCCATCCAGCCAGTTCTTTATTCACCGAGTGGTCCATCCATCAAATTGATGTCTCTCCAATTTAGAGACAAGGATGTCATGTGGGACAGTGTCGAACGCTTTGCACAAGTCCAGGTAGACGACATCAACTGCTCTACCCCTGTCCATCAGTTCTGTAGCCCCATCATAGAAGGCCACCAAATTGGTCAGGCAGGATTTCCCCTTAGTGAAGCCATGCTGGCTGTCACCAAGCACCTTGTTGTTTTTCATGTGCCTTAGCATGCCTTCCAGGAGAATCTGCTCCAAGATTTTGCCAGGCACAGAGGTGAGACTGACTGGTCTGTAATTCCCCGGGTCATCCATTTTCCCCTTCTTGAAAAAGGGGGTTTTATTTCCCTTTGCCACTTTCATACATAGAGAATACATATCAGACTAGTTTAGTTTAAAAACAAAAGAAAAATTCAGCATTATGTATTTGCAACAACAAAGAAATACCAAAGTAAAGCCAATCTATGAACTACTGCCTAGAAAGAGATGACAAAACAATACAAGAAAAACAGTTGCACAGTGAAAATCAGGAACTTAATGAATACAACAAGCACCAAAACCACTGTTCGTAAGTTCAAGCGCTTAATTACATCAACATGACAAGCTTATCTAAGATGGAGAACATTATTATGCAGCTTTTTTAAGCTCTGGTACAGATTGCATGTGTTTGACGTGACTAAGTGCCACAAGAAGAAAAAAGGCTTTCTGTCATGGAAATGAT